TTGGTGGCAAAATAAATTAAAAAATTAGTTATCGACCTATATTATTCATTAAAAAATAGATTAGATAATTAACTTTTTAAAAATGGATCAAATATGGACTAGATTTATATTATCCACTTAAAAAATAGATAATTAATGGAAAGCAACTATTACATTTGCAAAGACACAAATTGGGATTCCTCAAGTTTGGGAGACTAAAATTCTCCCAAAAATAATCATATTCAAAGCGTTCATATTATCCGCCGGTTAACCTATTTTCTATCCGTATTAAATTTGGATTGAAGCGGATAAATTATTAATTTTTTTATTACTGGTTTTGACCCATCAATATTTGATCCGACCCGCTCGTTTGCCGCCCTTGGTGTAAATTTTAGGTCTAGTGAATTTGACATAAATTTTCAAGAAAAGGGATGTGATAATGTCCATTGGACTTTTAGGTGCATATCTAATCTCCTTTAAGAAAGTAGGGCATCTTGATTATTGTTTTTTGTTAGAAGAAAACAGTGTGACAGTTCACATAGGAAGCAACACGTCAAAGGGTACCATTTATGACAAGTCAATCAATAGTCGAGACGCCCCATTCATCTCAATAGCTTATATTTGTCCACTTGTAAAAGCTATATTGCTATTGATGTTACCTCTCTAGACCATGTGTAACACTCTCATGTCACGACATCGCAAGATCCAAATCATTGATAGTTGCATTTCTGTTGAGATTTTTTCTCCTAGCGACTAATTAAGGCAAACAAATACATATACAAGGAGTACAAAGATGTTATAGCTAAATACTGTATCCTCGGTTTCATTACGTGAATCAAATTGATTGAATATGAAGTTAAAGAAAGAAAAGAAGCTTTTTAAATTTTTTGTCATAAGCATGTCATAGTATTTATGTGGCTATAATTACGTTAAAACTTGTAGTCTTAAACATATAGTAACTTTTATGTGACTCTATTTTTCATTATGAATAAAATGGAAAATTTAACTAAATTAGTTTTGAGTTTAGAATGGATTTTTTTTCTTTTTGAAATGAATTAGTTTATTTGATAGATTGAATTTGTTTTAAAATATGTGACGTTTTAGAATAAAAGGTGTGTTTATTATATTTTCTAATTTTACTGTTATTGCTCTAATAGTGAAGTCTTAATTGAGTTAGTCGTTCAAAAGAGAAAAATGATAGAGTAGATAAATATTCTTGTAATTAAAGTTATAATTGAATATCCTGTTTCAAGAGTACAAAAGTTTTAAAAGACAGATAACATAGACTGGTTGTAGTAATTAACTAAGGGGTCGTTTGATTTGAAGACAAGTTAATTAGTTATATTGAGGTAAGTTATGCTGAGATTAATTATTCTGATATTATTTCTTATTAATTATTTGGTATATTGTATTAATTCTAGGATTATCAATTTTACAGCTTTATCATGAGATAACTTATTCTGAGATTACTATTCCACCATTTGGCAGATATAAGTTATGCTGATACTATTTTTAATCATAGAATAACTTATCCCAAGATTATTTTTGCTTGTCCATCGTACCAAATGACCCATAAAGGAATGGCAAGCACCAGGACTATATTAAGCACAAAAAAAAAAAATACTCCCTCCATTCATTTTTGCTCCATTATACTAAAAATAAATTTGACTTTTACTTGTCCATTTTAGCAAATCAAGAGAAAAATAATTTTTTTCTTGTTTTACCCTTATTATGAATCACTCGTTCCCCAATTTATTTTCCAAGATTTTTTAAAATGCTGTCATTATTATGATTATATAATAAAATACATATTATAATGTATGTATACTATAATAAAATACATACTACAATATAGACAACATGGATTGCTCTGATGGTAAGCAACCTCCACTTTTAACTAAGAAGTTATGAGTCCAGTCTCCCCAAAAGCAAGGTGGGAAATTCTTGGAGGGAAGGATACCAGGTTTCTATTACTAAGTGAGATTATAGTGAGTTGTTATTATTGTTATTGTACATACTACAATTATTTATTTTTAAGGGGCTTGAAAAGTTCAAATTGAATAAACAAAAGTGTGAACGAGACAGTATGTTTTAGTAAGGTTCTGGTCGGCACCCTCCTTCACTGAGACAATAATACCGAAGAAAAGCGTTCCTCTACTGCTTTTTTACTTTTCCTAATGTTCCCTGCTAAAGTTAAATAAATGTTTCTTACCTATTTAATGCTTCTTTTTTTTTGAATTAACGAAGATGCTCTTTTTCTAAAAGTGCTTTCTCATGCCTTTTGTCAAATAGAATGCCTTCGAGAATAGGATTCCCTTTGAGTTCGATCAAAATATGCTTAATAGGTCTTTTCACGCAAATTTAAATTACCAGAGCCAATAAATTTGTGTAAATAGAACGGGCTAACTAGTTTTTGAATTGGTAAATTGAAAAATTATCATCGTTTGCAAAGTTATTGAAAAATAGTTATTATTTTGATGAAACACGGAAAGTTCCAGTATAATATGCTGGATTATGGAGCTTGTGTGTATAAACTTCCAGCATATATGTTAAAACTCCAGCACACGAAAAGTTACAGCATAATATGCTGGATTATGAAGCTCATGTGTATAAACTTCCAGCATATTATGTTGGAACTCCAACACAATGTGTTGGAATATCATATGTAAAAAGTTCGAACTCCAACATGTTATGCTGTAAATTTTCGGATTTTTAAGGTATTTTTGTTCAAATTTTATCTTTACATGAAAAAATGACTAAATTTCGATTACTTTTGAAACTTTGGCTATTTTTTAATTACGAGTTGTAAATATGACTATTCTGATTTTTTTCCCAATAAATTTCAATTATACAATGATTAAAATCAAAGAAATTAAAAACTTAGATAATTTCATGGAAATTTGGAGCTGATATCCACGTGCCACCATACAAGTAGGAGTATCTAGTTCCATAAGTTGCATTTATTTATTCTTTTTCACCGTGTATTTTACAGAATATTTTTTAATGTATTCTTATGACCTATATCTAGCACAAACCTAAGTGGCGCACTATAATAAAGATTGTATCCACCAAATTAATAGTAAGAAAGTTAGACGGAAGAAAGGACAGGAACCAAAATATGAGTTGTTGCTAGCTGATATTATTCCTAGGGGTGGCCATACTTTGGCCAAAACCGAAATCCGAATTTCTTGGATTTTTGGTTTGGGTTTTTGGATTACGGATTGGATTTTAGATTTAATTTTTAAAATTTTTGGATTTCGGATTGGATATTGGATTTGGTACTTCGAATTTATGGATATCCGAAAATCCGAAATTCTTATACTTTATATTTAGTCCATTATCCATATGTCAATAGTACTAAGTTCAATACCCTACCCATTAAAGATTATCATATATATTCAATATTAGTTACTAAGTTATTATGAGAATACTTTCTATTTAGATATGGTTTTTACTATTTCACTTCTTATTTATCGTATTAACGTCTCTATTGTATTTTTTTTATTTTTTATATAATAATTTCATTACTTTAATATTTCATTTAGATGATTGTGGTGAGAATGAAGAACTTTTCAGGCAATTTAACATGAGTACTTCATTTGGATATTCATTTTTGTAAAAAGAAGAGACATTTCAACTTATAAGCTCAAAATCGAAAATCCAAAATATCCAAACCGATTGATCCGAAACCGAGCTTAAAAAATCTGATCCAATCCGAACTTATTTGGATTGGATTTAGATTTTCATTTCGTCAATCCGAAAATTGAAAATCCAAACCAAAATTTCATATGCAATCCGAACTGCCCGAACGCCCACCCCTAATTATTCCTATTATTTGCTCGGCAAGTATTACTGAAATATTTTCCACTCTCTTTTTTAAGTTGAAAAAAATACGGTTAATTCATTTTTTAAATCAAAATTTAGGTATTTAGAAGATAAACGAAAGTGAACATAAATAACATTTTAACATTATTTTTTTCATATAACAAGGATGAAAGAATACATTTACGTTGACCAAGTTTATCTAATATAAATCTGAGAAGGGAAAATATGAGTATTTCTTATGCCCTTGCTATGGTTGAAATATTTATATGAGCAATTAATTAACATTAAATCTAGGATGGCCAGTCAAAAAAAGCAGTAAATTCCTATTAAGAATACCTTTCAAAATACTTACTACTATTCATCTAATTTTTCGAGAAGAATTAAATTCCAAAATTTTGTTACAGATGAAGTAGTTTCTTACCCCCTTGCTATCGTTGGACCATTTTTATGATCAATAAATCACATTAAATTTAGGAAGGTCGGTCAACGAAAAGCGGTTTTCCTCTGCGTCGTATTATTATTATTACTACTTTATTAGCACGAAAAATATTAGATGAAGAAAATAACTTTCCATACTTTAATGAATTTAATTTTATAGCTATTTATTTTGCCATAAATTTGAAACATATTACATACTTGTATCCCTCCTATTTTATTGTACCTTGTTCTAATAGGGAATAGCAATACAAGTAAAGTAAGCAATATTTTTGCATTCAAAATTTAAAAGCGTATTAACCTACAAAATGCCTTGTTTACTTGAGATAAAACTAAAAAGGAAACAAAAATATCTAATGTTTTCCAAATTAAAACAATCAAGTATTTAAAAACAATCACTAAATTCTTGAGCCGATAATTTATTGAAAACAATGTCTTAGTTTATATATATATCAATTTATGGGACCACACTGTGAGACCGCACTGCATAAAGTACTATTATTGTTGTTGCTTCACTAAACAATCTCTTATGAGATTTCTTGGCTAAGAGAAATGTGTGAAATATTAATTTACTGCTTATCTGCAGAATTTATCCACTAAACTCCATTCCTTCCAAACCACATGCCTTATTTATTTTCAGCAAACTAGTGAAATCTACAATCCCACTTGTCAAGCAACAAAAATGGCTCATAAATAACATTTATTTGTTATGTGATATAAAATGAATTATCTTTTATATGTGAAAGACAAATACATTGCCGAAAAAAAAATGACTAGAATTAAGTTCATACATACTCGCATATATAAATTCAATTTGTCACCCACAAAAAAATAAAAAGAAAAAACAACTAAACACATCTCCAATCTCTGAATTATTAAAGAAATAAAAACAATAGGAGACAAAAAAAGAAAAACCCAAATAAAAATAACCAGAAGATAGAGAACGAAGTTTTCACAGTAATTCTACTAAATTTTTTTTACCCTAAGGTGAAATAATAAATTCTCCAAAAGCCATGGTCAAGATGAGTGAAACGGTTGACAAAAGGACAACTGATGGAGTAAATGCCTTTACTGCAAATGAATTTGGGTTGGATGGTGCGCCAGCTGGCGAATTAATGTCCGCCGGAGTGCTACCGGCGCCGGCGCCCGGAGCCATACTTCCCGGCGCCATTGATGAAGTTGGTCCTCCGGCTGGTGCAATACCTCCCGGCGAAAGAGCAGATGAACCTGGTGCTAATGAGCTTGATGATGGTGAAGGCGATAAATCAGAAGCTCCTCCTGTCGGTGCCGGAGATCCGGTTGGAGTCATAGAACTTGTTGCCGGCACCGGAGCATTAGTTGCCGGAGATACGATTGAACCAGCAGGTGCAGGAGATGAGGTTGGTGATTTACCTGCTGAGGCGAATGTAATATTTATATATATAACTAAAATTTATTTTACTGAGTATATATAAGTGTGTGTGTAAAAAATCACGAAACTTCTTAAATTTAAATTCTAAACCGCTTCTATTTACCTGCTGGTGGAGATACTACTGGTGCCCCATTGGGTGATGATGTACCGGGTGTGGTCGATCCTTTAGACGGAGCACCTGCCGGAGTGGTGGCTGAAGGTGCTGAAGTTGCGGGTGGTGGGGTAGTAGAACCTGCATAGTAGTACACACGCGAAAAATCATTAAAATTTCAATAAATATTAAATTTTGAACTCATAATTTTAAAGCGTACAATGCAAAGAACCTAATACTTAAACCAATCAAATTGATATTGTGATGTTTACCTGCAGAAGGAGATGGCGGTGATCCCGCTGGTGATGGTGTAGATGATCCTTTAGGCGAACCAGCCGCCGGAGGAGTGATGGAACCCCCAGAAGGAGTCGGAGGGGTGGCGGAACCNGATCCTTTAGGCGAACCAGCCGCCGGAGGAGTGATGGAACCCCCAGAAGGAGTTGGAGGGGTGGCGGAACCGCCAGAAGGAGACGGAGGGGTGGCTGAACCGCCAGAAGGAGACGGAGGGGTGGCGGAACCACCAGAAGGAGACGGAGGGGTGGCGGAACCAGAAGGAGACGGAGTTGTGGGTGAAGAAGGGGTAGTAGGAGTTTTACCTCTAGGAGATATTACAATAATTTGCACCTTTTGTCCTTTGTTGCAATTATCTTTGTTGCCACTAATGAAGTAGAAAGGACCAGGGTGATCCAAAGTGAAAACGGAGTTGCCATCTTCCATCTTCTTGATTGGGCTTTGTGTATTGCATTTGTCATAATCATCCTTGTTTACTTCCAACACAGAATCTGATCCTTGCTTATACTTGAACACTATTATAATCACGCAACAAACAAGAAAATTAACAACTATCAAATGTTGCACGTAACATATAATAGTAACTTACTAACACATATTAGGAGTACAATTTTAAGCACACAAACTACCTTAATTTGAAAATTAAGGGAGATCTTAAGATGCTGTTATTATTTTTTTTGCTTTTCCGTTGTTGACACTTATCTATTGTCTTCTTGAGTCGATAAGACAAATTAGGGTCTGCGTATACACTACCTCCTCAAACCCTCCTTATGAAATTTTACTGGATGATTGTTGTTGTAATCTCACTTTTTATGAGCGACTATATATATTTGATAATGAAAAGTTATTTTATAGTGTGTAAGTACGTGAGTTTGTGTGTTTTCTACATAAACTGGAAGGGAGGAGAAGACTTACAAGCAGTGTCACCAACTTGGAATCTCATATGTTGAGACCATTCATTGTAACTTTGAGAAGGGTTAGGAACCCAACCATCTTTACCACCAACTGTGAATTGATAAGAGTGCGAAGATCCAATCAAACAAGCCAAGAGCAGAATCAACACTGAAAAATGTCTCTGCAAAGCCATGGCTATTTTCTTCTCTCTGTTCCAATGGAGCTATACAAAAGTAGGAGACTTTGTAAGTGCAAATGTATAAATACACAAAAGAGTGATCACGAGCACACGAGAAAGGAAAGAGGGGAGAAATGGGAAAGAGAAGCTTTCACGAGAAATATAGAAATGCAAAAAGGGGGAACAAAGATATGGACAAGGAACTAAAAAATCAGTAAAGAGGAAAGTTTGGTAGCTGAAGGAAAGATTATAGGCTGACGACGAAGTTTATATAGACTGACCAACACTTAAAGAGAGTTAAAAGAGGACCTAGTAGTTGAGGTTACCGTTGCAAAGAGTTAATATACCCTCCTAAATACAAATTGTAATAAATTTGTGTTGAAGTATGTAGATAAATACTCTTAGTATAATTTTATATGTTTAAGAAGTAAAGCATATGTTAAATTTTTTGTTAGTGTTCGATGTTCGAGGGTCTATTGGAAATAACTCCTCTACCTTCGAGGTATCTGCGTACACATTATCTTTCTTAGACTTCACGTGTGAGATTATATTGTGTTTGTTATTGTTGTAATGTTCGACATTTGCATTAGAGCTTCTATTAATCCGGAGTCGTGTCACATGGGTTCATTAAAGATGGTAACGTTCCTTATCATGACTCGAGTTCGAGTCCACTTATTAAGGGTGAAAAGATTTTATTCGTCAAAACATTAAAAAATTTAAAAATACATGTGAGGTGAAGATAATATAAAAGGAATTTCGAAAAATGTAAGGAGTGAGGGCCAATAAGGGTAGGCAAAAATAATATCTATACCTGTGTACCAATTGCAACGCGCCCGAGTAAAATGGAAGGGTATGTTTGAAATCTCATGGATAGAATATTACGCGTGGAGAAAAGTTGTCCACATATCAACCGTATGGGATAAGCCGTATTTAATTAGGAATTTATTTTCATCAACTATCAATAAGTGTAAAATTCAATTAGTAGTATTATTTTTTTATAGTTATATATACTTTTTTTTTGAAATTTATTATTTATCCATATTAATTGACATTTAACGAATGTGATTATGTCAAAGACTCATTGCTTGTACTATATAGCCGACGCGGATTGCTGTTACATTAGCCCAATTGGTTAATGCCTTGTTCCATTCTAGTACAGATAGTAATGTAGTTGACATCCTCACTCGTATTTCCCACGTTATCCTCTTTGAGCCACGAAACTATTTTGGTGAAAAATGTTACTCCTATGCAATTAAATTAATTAATAAGCTAATAATCTTGTTAACTAATCTTTTTATTTCTTATAATAGTTGTTGCATTTTCTAGGGATTGGTTCAGACAGTTTGGATTGGATTATGGAAACTTTGGTTTGAGTTTTTCGAATTTCGAATAAAGAGATTAAAATTTAAAACCAAACTAAATCTGCTCGGATTGGTTTGATTTTTGAAAGTTCGATTTCATATTAATCGATTTAATTATTTTGTATTTTCAATTTGAGCTTATAAGTAAGACTTCTTCGTATCCAATTAAACCTTCAAATAAGTATTCATGTTAAATTGTCTTAATAATTTGTTTTCCGTGAAAATGGTCTTAACAATTATATTGATTTTGTAGTTCTAAAAATATGTGATTTGTTTCAATACTAGTTGTTAGGCAATAGATGCTAAGTGTAAGTAAAGAGAATAAGATAGCCAAACCAATGTAGATGAAGGACTGGGATCTCGAACTCAATGGAATCAGGGACCTCGGGTCCGATAATAGCAGTAGATGAAGAACAATAAATGAAGAATAATGAGCAAAAAATAATAAAGCTGAAAGACAGTATTGAGCGTGAGAAAAGCAGAAAATGTTCTATTGTATTCAAGATCCATCCACCCGTTACAAAATGACAAGGGTCCCTTTATATAGGAGGGGGAATCCCAACATAGTACATGTCTAATAATGATGAGGAAATGATATTGGTACATATGTATAATGGCTCAGTACGGATTTGTACTATCCTTGCAAACCTGGTCAGCTCTAACCACGTGTCCTTGGGAGCTTTCTCGCCTTTCCATGACGATCATCGATTTGTACTGCTCCGAGATTGACCATAGTGAACCTTCGATATGCTCCCTTGAGGGACGAACCTCGGGGTCACACTTTAAATTCTGCTTCGAGTTTTTCGAGGTCAGGCGTGGAGTGTCATAGTAGCCCCAAAGTCGAACTCCCCGATTTTGACCGTATGCATAATTTCTCATTCCCATTACAATCACCTTCGGCAATCGTAAGTACAAATTCAAACAATTGATATAAGTAACAACATGGGTTTTAATGATGCTACCACTAGATTGTTAAACTAAATTAAATAGTAACAAGAACATCGATTTTTGTACTTGTTAACCGTAGCAGAAGTTTTGCAGAATATTCTTCGATCAATTGCTCAAGTCCGACTTCGTCTCTCTTGAAAACGAAATACTATTTCACAAACTAGACGCCTTCTTCTTTCTTTTGGTGTGGTTCTTTCTTTTTAGGGACAATTATACAGAATCAAATCTTCGTTGAAGTAGAGCCTTGATTATATAGAGAAGGAAAGTTGTCAAAGAAAAACTACCGATCAGATAATTTATTCCCACACTCCCACTTTCTTTGCAACGTACGGTAGTTTTATTTTTAGGGGTTAAAGTTTCCCTAGATAACTTTCTTTAATCATATCTCCTTTAAAACGGGTCGGGTCAGTCCATATGTGCGACCCAAACCCAATATCCAATATTTCCCACTTCGAATATGGTGGACTTGACCCAAACTAGTACCATGACAATAACACACGTAATTTATACTGACAAATAGTTCGTGCGACCTGCGAGCTCGAGAGCTATAATATTATTAATCCTTTAAGGTTGTTTAATAGCTCCATGTAGAAATTTATATCACATACGGAAGGAATTTACTACTAACATGAGGATCTTATTACGCACAATACCCAAACATTATTTGCTATTCCCATAGCTATTTATCTAATCCATCATCCTCGAAAGAGGTGAACTCGAGTTTATGTTTAATTTTGTATCGATTTGATACCCTAATGTAGGTGTAATGATCGACCTATGAATACAAGTTAAATTACTAAATTTTTAGTTGTCTTCCCTTTGTACTCGGATCTTTTCATTCCAAATCAACAACTTTCCTTGCCATGCACTGCATTGGCGTATAACTCATGGCTATTAGCGACATGTTAAAGTAGGAACACTGATTGTCACTTCAAGAGACAGTAAAAGGTAAAATAGTATTTCAATAAAAGTTAATATAACTTCTGTGGGATCTCACATAATGAAGAAGCAAGGATTCATTCTTCCATTATCCTACTAGTCGATAATACATATGATATGAAACATATGTTACGGTGTTCTCGCCTTATATTGGTGCGTGTGTCTTATTCTTTTAATCATTTAACACCGTTCAGATTTTTGTCTAGACACCTTTAAATGTCTTGCCCGCCCGAGTTTCTCACTTCAATAATCTTCAAATCTAACTTTAGGAGAAACTCACATCTGGCTTACAAAACAAGTCATAATCGAATGAAAAAATTTATAAGTATGACTGGTTGGCAGGACCTACCTTTACAAGCAAATATAACCTCGCATTGTCCAAGGTTCTATAAGGTCTCATCTCTTCACGATTCTTAACGTAATAGGCGATTGCTCGTGTGAGAGAGTCAATCTCGTGACTTGTTTGACACACTTTATCAACAAAATATCATCACATGCATACTAGATATGAACATAAATTCAAGAGTCAAATATTGATGAGCATATTATAATAATCAAGTCATTTTAAAATACATAAACCTGGTCATATCCTTCACAAACCTAGAGCCATAACATGTTTCTCAAAAAGGTCTCTAGATATCGCCTTTGTAAAAGGATCAGTTATCATACTACATTTAGGAATGTACTGTAAAGTTATCTCTCCACTTACTACCATGTCTATCACAAATTTATACTTGATATCAATGTGTTGTTTCTTGATTTTATACTTAGGATCTTTTGTGTATGCAATAGCCTCTTGACTATCGCAATATAGAGTTATGGGACTTTGAGAGTTCTTTGTAATATCTAGATGCTCAAATAATTTCTTCAACCAAATAACTTTTTGTACTGCAGACGCACAAGCCACAAACTTAGCTTCCATCGTCGAAAGGGCCGTATAAGTTTGTTTCTTGATTTTTTCATGAAATAGAACCACCAATAAGTAAGAAAGTATAACCGGATGTTGATTTTCTATTATTCTGGTCACCAGCCCTATCGACATCCATATATCTTCTCAAGTATAAATTAGGCCAAATGACCTTGTGGCTACTTAAACTTGTACCAGTTTGTAAACCTGATATATAAACTTACACTTTTACCCTTTAAACTCTCCAACTTGACGAAATGAGTATGAATAAACTACTTTGATCGTTGACTATGCTTATGTGGTAGTGACATAGGTGATGTGGACAAAATAAGTGCCCATCACGTAGAAAATGTGTGTGAAAATAATAGTCTAATTAAAAAATAATAAAATTAAAAGGAATAAAAAAAGTTATAAAAGGATCCCGTTAGGACTCCCCTCCCTTTTCTTTCTTCTACCCTCCCCCTTTATCCCATGTCAGTACACCTTTTTTTTATCATGTTCTTCTTATTATCTTTCAAATCTTATATACATTGTGATATAGCTAATTTTCTAACAACATATTGTAGCCCGATAAGTAAAGTTATTGTAATAATCAAACTTCTCTACCGGAATAATTTTCAGACGAATTTCAGTTGTTTTTCGACTGAAGACAAGCTGAAAAAAGCATCATCTCTTTTACCACTAATTCAATCTCTTTCTTCACTGCTATACCAACCACTATTTGACGAAGAACTTTTTAGAAAATTTGATCTTTATTGGGTCTATGAGTTTTAGAACCTTTATTTTGGAAACTTTCAAGTTATTCTTATTTGATTTGGGTTCTTGAGATTTTATTGGAGAATGGGTTCCTGATGATGATTATGGAGATTATGGAGGAAAAGGGTCTGTCTACTATTTTGGGTTTAGGGTTTGTCGGATTTTTTTCTGTAGTAGCTTCTTTTACTGATTTGAAGAGAGGTGTTTGAGTGGACAAGAAAAGTAAAAAAGTAAAATTAAATTTCGATGAATAAATTTAAAAATGGGACCCACAAATAATACATGTCAAGTAATAAATAGTCTAGCACATGACATGTTGTATATGTCAATGCAATTGATATACACG